GCCGCAGCACGCCCCGAGTTGCATGGAGTGCGAGGTCCCGCCCAACGCTGCTTGCAGCTTTAATTCAATATTGTCTTTCAGCTTTCAGTGGAATCCCACTGTGACTATATATTTATATATGTTGTCATTTCACATAATAATATTATCCAAATGACTGATTCCAAACAAACCGTAGTTACAAAATGAGTTATTGAAGGTTTTGTTTTGCATGTGATGGATTTTGTCTGATTTAATGTTTGACAAGTGACAACAAAACAAAGTAAATTGCATTAAAAACGATTTTATACAGTTTTTATGGGTGTTTTTTCAAATATATTTGCCAAATCACATTATATTAATATATTGGGAAGGTTTATTGTAGCTGATGTTGCAGTCATTGATCTGATCATGGGGATGTAGACTCCACAAACTCATGCAGTGATAACACCTAGATAGTCTGCACTGACAGTCAGCTTTCATTCATAAACTTAGGTACCAGCAGTCTAACAGGATGCATTTATCAGGATATAGGAAATTAAAAAGTAACTTCATTGTATCCATAAACTCTGGATTACACCCTCTACTGTTGGACAAGTAAACTGACCCTTCACACAGTTCTTCAAACAGTTATTGATTGTTTCCCATTCATGATTAGGACGCAAACACACATCCTTACAGCGGACAGAGAGGGTGAGAGTTTATTTGTGTTTATTGGTAAACACCGGGACTTTTCATACCTGCACCTTTCTTCTTCGCCCTTGCTTTAGCTCCGCTGCTCTTTGCCTTCAGCGCCTGCCTCAGTTTCTTTGTATCGGCCTCTGTCTGTGCACACTCTCTCCGCTTTGCCATTCTGTCTTCTTCCTGTCTCTTCTCTAACTTTACCGAATCAACACTGCTTTCTTTAAACGTCGTTTGGCGAAACTACACCGGCGGAAGTCCCTCGACTATCCACATGGTGCTGCGTAAAGGCAGGGAAGCAGCAGTTATTCAACATTTCTCCCAGCAGCTTTCATAACACAAGGGTCGGTCTGCACTCCGGTTGTTTTGGTGGGCAGGACCATGACGTCACTTCCGCCCCTTCTTCTCCTTCGTCTTGTTCTTCGTCGCTTATATTGCAGTAGCGCCTCAGTGGGCACAACTTACCTTCTTGAACCAAACCCTCAAGAGCTTTACTTTATCAGGCTGACACATTTCATATCTCTGCTGCTATTTTAACTGAAGCGGGACTGTGTTTGTACAATGTGGCGGTTTTACGCGATGTAATACCCCATGTGGACACTGGGGGGCAGTGTTGTGCTATATGAGAGGCTTATCTACAACAAGTCACAATGTGAGGTGTTGAAGTGAGGCTACTGAGGAGGCTATTGTCTCTTATCCAGGTCCTCATACTCCTCATATTAAAAATGTCATCTTGAGCTTAGACAACTACATTCATGGGGTTTCATAAAAGAGGCGCACTGGGTGCTCGGTGGCTACGCAGCCGTCTGCCAACAATAGGATCTGTTTTCATATTTGTAGCATTTAGCCAGAGGCATAAGGAGTTCAACAGCAGAAAAACTCTAGTCTCTGGAGCCACAATATTAAAGACAGCTGAAATTAAAGGACCTTATGTTTATATTTTTACGATTCCTGACAACTGTTTCAAGAGCATGCAATAAACTCAGTTTTGCATTTGCACCTGAACGGGCCACTCTCCCCACTGTACTGTCAACTGCATTACAACATTATGGTAATGTAACTTTAACATAAATGAAATAATACCTAGTGTACACTGGATTGATTATGTAACTCAAGCATATTTCAGGTTCATATTCACACAATACAGTCATGAACGAAAGCCTTGAATGTGGGAAGAATGAAGAGTTCAAAAACATTTATTAGTATATCTGTTAAAAAATGTGTTAGGTGTAATGTAAACTTGACCTAAAGTAATGTTAAACCACCACTAAGATCCTCTACAGAGCACAAGGTCAGAGCCAGTGCTTTGACAAGTTTACTATGATAATAATATCACGAATAAGGACTGTACTGATGTACTCTTCTATTGTCTTATATATGAATGATTTGTGTCACTCTCTGCTATAATATTATTGTGGTTTTTTTTTTTATCAGTGTGCCTTGAAGAATGTGTTGAAATAAAACAATTCTCAGACAAATAAGAAAGAAATATCATTTATGGATTCTTGTGCATATTTTACTTTATATTATGGTGAATGGATGCACAGTGTGTGCAGGATCATCATGAAACCATCTATCTGGCAAAATACACTGGTTAATAGCTAGATCTAAAAATAAGCAGATGAGTTACTATCAGTTTCCACAAACACAATTTCAGATCATCTGAAGCAGAAGATGTGACTGATGTAAGTCTCTATTTCTGTTCTGTCTGTTCTGGATATAATATTTGGTTTTGTGTGTTTTTTATAGAACTGGAGAATCACAATGTCTCAGTCTCACCTTACTGACAAAAAGATCTTCAAACTGATTCACACCCCATTTGTGTGGGTTTCCTCATAACTACTATACATCAGGAAGACTACAGACTTGAGAATGTGGCTATATTCGTCTCTCTGTGTGTCAGCCATTTCCTGGGGGTTTCTCTGACTTCAACCCAGTGAATTCTGGGATACTCTCTTCCTCCCACTGGGACCCTGAATAAGAATTAAGTGGGTAAAAGACCACGGCTGAATGAATTCTTTATCTTGTCATATTACGACAGGTCTGTGCGATTACCCTGCAACGAGTTCTGCCTCTTCAATCCGAATCAATTTGGTTCATTTCAGTTTAATTTCATTTTCCTTCTGCTCTGTTGTGATCCGTATTGATCATATTGGGATTCTGTGGCAGATGTGTATGATTCACTTCAGAGAGCCGTCTGTCAGCTGATACAGTTAGACAGCTTCAGACTGACTCGCTGCAGTAGGGGCCTGATGGGACCAGGGGACCGTTTCGGCCCCGAGTGTGTGTATGTATGTGTAAAGCATGCACCATTCATATGGATACCTATTGCATGCATGCACATAAATGAATGCATGTTTTTGTGTGACTGTGTGACAGGTTTTCGCTTCATGGTCTCCTGGATGTGTGCATGCATTTATTGGCTTCTGTGAGCATGTAGGCTCTTGAGACTGTACTTATAGTTGTGTGTGTGTGTATGTGTGTGTGTATGTGAGGTGACAGGGCTTCAGTCCATGGTCCAGTGCGTTGTGCTCCCAGCGCGGTGCATGGCTTCCATCCCTATATGAACCATCAGTACAGTCAGATAGGAATAAAAAGCCATACAGCGCACTGGGAATTGGGAAGACTGGATTTTAAGAGCAAGGACACACACACATGCATGTACACAGTCAGATGATAAATGGAAAGACATTAAAATAAAGCCCCGTGGGGCCTGCAATACTGGAAAACAAGACAACAGCAGGGGAAAAAATAACGACAGCCAGAGACAAAGACAGAGAGCTGATAAAAGACAAGACTGGGCCCTGTATACTGGGTGTACTGGAATCATACTGGGCTGACGACGGATCAGTGGACCGACCAGAGAACAGACTGTGTGTGAGTCAGAGGGAGAGGACGAGAAGCCCCATCAATTTTGAGTAATGCCACCCGGTGTTGAGGTGTGGCAACAGGTGTGTGACATCCACCCAGAAAGCGCAGAAGCTTTTTAACCCCACGGTGTTTTTCTCCAAGGCAGCTGGATTTCCAACTGCGCTGCTCTTTGCTCTTGACAATCAGACAGAATTACCCTGGTATTTGATGCACAAGATTCTTGACTCATTAACCTTCATATACTGCTGTGTTTTAAACAGTGCAAGTCCCTTTTTGGATATTGGGTTACGACACTGGTCTGTCCCTTTCCTTCCCTATATATCCACATTACAAATCAAACTTCATATCTTCAACCACAAGGACACCACTTTCACCTCCATCAGCTTTACCAAGGGCACACATACAATTTGGTAACCCAGTAGAACAAGTTGTTGTTCCCCTCATGGATGTCTAAACCTTGAAAAAAAAAGAAAGAAAAAGAATCACTCATCCAGGTGTCTATGCTAACAGAATAAACAACTACAGACAGACATTTTACAAGAAGTGTCCAAAAATGAAAATGTATGAATGAACATGTCATCATTTAAAATATATTTTGGTCGAGATATAGTTGAGATATAGCCTCCTCCTTGGCAAGCATCTGCAAGTACTGGAAAAACAATTCAAATTCTATATTTATCACCTACAAATTGACAGTGGTCCAGTTTATTTTGAAACATATACTATCTGGAAACCTATTCAGATACGCTCTGGAAACTTTATGGCCTGTGGGACAAATATTATTTTAATACATTTTAGTTTGAATGTGTAAGCACAGCTGTGAGTTTTGTGTTCTCTTTTGAATGATCTCTTTCTTTGCCACAAAGACTTAAAAAATAAATAATGTTTTATCACTGTAAAGCCAAAAAAAACCCCTCCCTTAATTAATTTGCTCTTTAAGAGGAGGGGTCAACTTTTCCACCAATGAGCTTTGTGGCACCTGTTGTCCTGTTGGATAGAATTCACATGCTACAAACTCAACCAGATGAACACAATTTTATCACACCAATTTTTAAAAACGTGCCACAGACAGCAGTGATTTCACATGTTTCACAGAACAACCAACTTATTTTCCTTTAATCAAGAGTCATCTTTGATACCGGTGTGGACAACCACATGATTCTGCCACATATTGTTTCTGGAATAATCCTGAATCACTGGACTTCAGAGAAACTGGGAAAGTTTATTTTAAGACTGATTTAAAGACTCAATTCAAAGGTCATGCAATATATTCGTGAAATATGAAATAACCCCCTCTCCTGTTCGGTTCTGCATTATTGGACCTCATAAGCTCCAGGATGGACTTGAAAAAAGGATTGAGAATTTGGCAAGTGCCCGCATCAAAATTAGAGCGAACCCCCCCTCAAATCCCTACAAGTCTGGAGAAGGTATGTTATTATTGTTTTCTACAGAAATAAAGCCTGAGAAACCATTCCTGTGGCGCCTTAAGAGGCTTCACAACTTCAAGGAGCGGATATGAAATAAATCCAATTACCGAGCTGTCAATCAAGCCGCTAATTAGTACGACTCCGGCAGACTAAGTGGCATCAAAGCTGGAAACTCAAAATAGAGGCGACGAGAGACACACACACAAAAAATCACACAAAACGGGCAAATTCGTCGCTGAAAAAATAACAACTACCCCAAATAAACCTCATCAGACGCTCCCTCACAACCTCTAGACGGGCTGCTGCTATTTCTGGATCGCCACAGACGAGCAACAGCAGCTCGTGAATAAAAAAAGAAAAGAAAAAAACGAAAAAGAAGAAGAAAAAGAGGAAGAAGAGGGAGAAGAAGAAGCGAGCATCCATGCATCCGAGCCGGGACACCGCGGGTCCCTCCTACGCCTCTGTACCCGCTTCCCCCTGCCGGACTGCTGGAGCAAACAGGGTCCGGCGTCAAACAGGTGGGCTCCCAGCCTTGTGCTTTCTGATGGCTTCTGCTTGAGGCCTGAACAATTGTCCAAAATAGTAGTTTGTCCCCTGCTCAGTCCTCTTGTCCTGAGAGAAGAGGTCGGTGATGCTGCCGCTGCCACCGGTGGATGCGTGGAGTTTGATCGCCCCTTTACGCATCTGTGCGTATTTCCATTCAACGGCAGAGGCAAACAGACAGAGAGAGTGAGTGCGAAGGAGAGTGAGAGGGGGAGAGAGAGAGTGTGAGAGAGAGGGAGGTGTGGTGGAAAGGAGGAAGGGGGGGGGGGTAGGTAACAAAAGCCTCCTTTTTTGAGTGAGGAGGAGCCAGAATAAAAAGAAGAGGGATGAGAGAAAAGGACAGGGAGAAAAAAAAAAGCGAAGGAGGCATCTATTCAGTACCTAACAGGAGACTCCCTCGTGCTTATGTGTCATGTGTGTGTGTGTGTTGTGTGTTCGACAGAAGAGGATGGTGAGGGAGGGATGGCTATGTCGCCTCAGTGACGCGCGCAGTGTTAATAAAAAAGCCGGGCAGAGGCTGAATAGGGCTCTTTTCTGTCGTCATT